AATTGCCTCGCGTGGCTTTAGCCTTCCTNTATTAAAAAATCAAAAAGAAAAAAGTTTGAAACCCAATTTAAAGCTCGGTATTTTTAGTAAAACTGTAATGTAAGTTAAATGGGGATTAAAACTGATGTGACAGAGGAAAAAGTTTTAAGCTTCGGTTTGAAGCCCAAATCTTCATGTCCATTTTTAGACTTTAGTGCTCTAAGAGCATACGCAGCGGCGAGGCAATTCCTCGCCTTACTGCGCCACATCAGCATATTCCGCAAATTGCCTCGCGTGGCTTTAGCCTTCCTCCACGCCAAGCGTGGGAGGCGCGAGGCATCTTCCAGGTTTTTTTTTTGTTTTATTTTTTTTTGTAGAAGAAATAATTTTTTTAAAAAAGAGTACATCTATTTAAAAAAATAAATGAAATAATTTTTAATAATTAAAATGTATTAAAAATCATAAAAATTGACAAAAACAATGATTTGCCACTGCATGTGATGTCATTCCACTCACTTGTCACACGATGATTGGATTGTCTTTTATCACCTGAAATGTGCTACGTCAACGTGTGACATTCCATTTAGTTACTTGTCATTGCCCGTGCTCTAAGGACTAGGAGTACTTCCGAGTAAATTAATAATAGCGCGGATTGCCGTGTAATTTATTAGTCGCTAGTAAAAAGTTAGTAGAGTTGGGCAATTGGGCTCTACTCTAAAATTTTCGTGCATAAGTACTTGGGTTCAAAGTACCGAGTACAAGTCTGGGCAGGTTTCACCCTCTTTTGGGCTTCAAGTTAGGAGGTACGAGTGGAGTTGGCCCGTAACCAGCAAGAAGAGCCCGCAGAGTTTTTAAGCGTCAGGCTCAAGTTTTATGCTTAAGCCCGCTTTCAGAACCAATGAACCAACAGGAACCAATGAACCATACCAAATGTTATTCTTACACCCGCACACATATTTATTTATTACTCTCTCCCTCGTACTATATCCGTATGATTTTGACTTTTTATAGTCAATTATTTTTAGCGTTTTTTTTATAGCTATATAAAATAATATTTTGAGTAAATATTTTATAAAATAATTATAATAAAACTATTTAGTTAGATAAGTCTAATAAAATTTATTTTACCGATTTTATTTAATTAGTGCTAAAAATTTGTCACTTTTAACTATAGAATGTCAAAACGGAATGAATACTCAGAAATAGTGGTAGTACTTTTAGCCAAATTAAAGAAATAAAAAAGATTGAAGTTTGAGATACGGTGATATGACGATTTGGTTCCATAATAGGCTATTGGGTGTGGTGTGATCCATCACACCATCACACTCAGCGTCACGTCAGTTTTTCTCTTTCCTATCAAGACTCATCCCAACATCATCGGCACATCGCACTATTGGGGCGTGGATCACCCCATTTTTTTCTAAATCATAATTAACTTAAAATAAATAAAATTAAATCAATCAATAAAATTAAAACTACATTAATGCGATTAAAAAACAAAATTAAAAAAATACAGATTTATAAAAAATATAACTAATAAAAATACAATTACTCATTCTTCGAAAGTGGAGGAGCGTAGTTCCACAAATACTCAACTAAATCCGCATGAAGGTTGTGGTGCGCATGCGTGTTATGTAACTCGAACATGTCAAGATCTTATTGTTCTGCATCAACCGGTTCAACGTTACCGTTGTGATCATTCAGGTCGTATTCGCATATCGCACGCCCTTTGTCTTTGATAATCATGTTATGTAGGATGCAACAAGCATACATAAAGTGACACAACTTTTTTTGTGAGAGAGCTCACACTAGGTTTTACACAATGTGGCATCTCTGCTTGAGCACACCAAATAGATACTCCAAGTTTTTTTGCTGATTCTTGGTATTTGGGGAATTTTCTTTCTCTTTGGATCCTCACAATACAGTATAGTTTTGACTATAGCCGGTACTTTAGATCAATATCGTCGCCACAATAAAATCCATGCTTGTGTCCACCCTGAAATAGAAAAAAAGATATTTTTGTTGAACATATCTAACTTGTTGAAATATTGGAATAATAATATTGCTCATTGAATTATGGAGTACATGATAGAGTATATATAGGAGAGACTCTTAACACAATTAGGAATAAAGAATGAAGTCTAACTAAATAAACATCTACCACAAATAGGATTAGGAAGCTGACTAATAATGAAACATTACCATAACCAATACTACAAGAAGTAATATTAGTATTATTGTCTAACATCCCCCTCAAGCTAAACTCTGGCTGAAGCAAGAGGAAGCTTGGACACTAGCTGGAAACAGGAAACTTTGAGAAGAGAGAAGTCTGATATGCGCCGGTGGCTGCTCACGTCGTTGGAGAATAAAGAAGTGTGACGCGCGCTGGTGGCTGCTGACGTCCTGGGAGAAGAGAGAGGTCTGACGCCCGTCGGTGGCTGCTGAGGTCGTTGGAGAAGAGAGAAATTGACGTGCGCTAGTAGCTGCTGACGTCGATGAAGAAGAGAGAAGGTTGGCGTGCGCTTGTAGCTGCTGACGTCGAAGAAGAATAGAGAAGGTTACTGGAGGTGCCTGTTTGACTAAAGATCCTTGACATTTTTTGTCTTTTTCTTGGATCCGGGCAATGTCCTATTTCCTTTTTGAAGGGGTGAGTTGTAGAGGTCTTATTTCCTCTTTCACTACTTCCCCTCTTGGCTTTGCTTTTGTGCTGATTTACTTTGGATTTTTATTGGTTCAACAGAAAAGAAAGAGAAGGGAGGTTGATGATTAGAATGAGTGATTTTAGAGAGAAAAAAGTAGGTTAAGAATTGGAGATAGAAAAAAAATTTGGGTATGAGATTTTGATATGGTGAATTGGAGAGAAACAACAATTATTTTTTTTCTTTTTGTGAGGAGTTGGGTTTTTTTTGAAGATTCATGGAGATAACAAGGGAGAAGTTCCTCTTTTGATAGTTTTTTTATGTGATTTCAACAAGGGTTTTTTTTCTTTTTTTTTTCATTTGAATGGAGAAGTTGATTTGAGGATAAAGAAGAAAAAGAAAATAGAGGTGAATAGGGTGGAGCCGTCGTCGCTGCAATTACCGGCGGCGGCGGTGGGAGCAAAGATCTTTTTTTAGGTCACCAAGAGCGGTGGCTCTGATACCATGTTGAAATATTGGAATAATAATATTGCTCATTGAATTATGGAGTACATGATAGAGTATATATAGGAGAGACTCCTAACACAATTAGGAATAAAGAATGAAGTCTAACTAAAATACAACATCTGCCACAAATAGGATTAGGAAGCTGACTAATAATGAAACATTACCATAACCAATACTACAAGAAGTAATATTAGTATTATTGTCTAACACAACTGTCCAAGAACGTTCAAATTGTTGTTCGAATCGGCCACCCAAAATAATGCACGCAAATCCACAGGCTACGACCTCAAGCATCAGTGTGGGGTGCCCGTGATCACCCCATATATATTGCCATCCCTAGGTGGTGGGGGGTATGTTTAATAAGAATTTAAGAAAAAGATCTCTTTTGAAAAAAACAAGGTATTTAATGGCTGGTTTGGGGAGGGAAAGCGCCGTAGTGATCGGGATAACCATTACTCCCATCGCAGTCATGATAAGGGGGCGGTGTTCCAAGACATGATGAACGATAATGTGGCCCCACCTAGCCATCGCCGAGCTACCACGGAGACCACGCCGTTTGGTCTTAGAAATGCACATGGGTCGTGATCCACCTTGTCCAGGGGCGGAGGATGGGGGGGGGGGGGGGGGGGGGGGCTGCCGGGGCACGTGCCCCCCCGGCGAAGATCCGGCGAAGAGGTGTGGCCTGCGATTACAGTCAACGGCGGTTGCAGTGCCCCCGGTTTGCCTTGCTCTGAGTTTTCCGATCTTTAAAATAAGAGTAAATGACTTTTTAAAGCAAAAGCAAAACGGCGCCGTATACCAACCTCACCCTCTATTAGAAACACAATGCGGCTTCAATAGGTCATAACTAGTTTTTTACTAGACTACTGGACTAGGCCTTTTTTTAAACAAAACCCCCTTTAAGCCCAAATGTAATGTGAAGATTGATTAAAAATTCATATTTTAATTGTTTTTAAAAAATTTGGAGTTCTGTTTTTCTATTTAACTTCATTTGGTTTTTATTAGAGTTTGTTATGTTGTCCAAAAGAATTACTCCTTCCATCTAAAAATATTCTTTTCATTTGACTCTTTACGGTCTTGAAATATCTATATTTATACATGTATATATTTTATAAAAATTTGATATATCAAAACTACGTTAGAATAAGAATATAATGATATTAATTTTTTATTATAATACAATGTATTTTTTTCTACATATCGGAGTTAAAGTTTACAAATTTGATCAATAAAAATCAAATGAAAAAATCATTTCTGGATGGATGGAGTAATTTTTTATGATTTTGAAAAAAATAATAATATTATTTTATTGTTATATCTGAATGATTTGAGATAGAATCTATTGCATTTTAAGTTATATGATTTCTCTCCCGTCTTAATTTTTTTTGTTTAAACTTTTTTTATGTTTGATTCGTTGTATTTGACCAAAAAAATCAATTTAGAAAATGTTTTTAGGAAAGGAGGAAGTACTATTTTTTAAAAAAATCCACGCCCCAACCCCTTGTAGTGGCCCCCCCCCGCTCGCTAGCTTCTGGCTCCGCCACTGACCTTGTCATAGAAATCATAGAAATAATATAAATGTCACATTTTTGTTAGCACAAAAGAATACCAAATAACCTACAAGCCACCTCAACGTGTTTACTAGAATATATATTTCGAACTTTGTAGGCCTTTCATACTAAAGACATTTTAAGAGATACGGAGTAAAATTTAAATTTATTACGACTTAGAATTATTTCCCGCAATCACCAAATCATTTGACTCTTTGTAGACAAACCCACGTTCTCGCCCTGCACCAAATTTTATCTCTTTTAGGCACACGTAATTACTCAAAATAAAAAAGGAATTGATAGTATTTTGAGACAAAGGATGTAACAATAACAAAAGAATTTATACTCACAATAATAGTGTGTAAATTAGGTACACAACCAAAATATTTCATACGTATAAAAATATTATCTCACCAACTATTTAATTTGACAATACTTTTTCTCTATTTTTTTTGCCTAAAAAACAATGTAAATGACAAACTCGTCCTTCTTCCCCCTTTCCCTAGAAAGTCCATTTCCAGATCTTCACACGGACATTAGCCTGGCAATTCACGTCTGGGGCGGTGGCTTTCGCCGGCGACCTCCCGGATGGGACACTCACGCGGATGCCGCCGCAGGTGACTCTGACGCCGACTTTGTTAGTTTTCAGGCTTCCAACCTTCACTCTGACCTTAGTATCCAACCTTATCGTCACAGGAAGGCTCTTCTTCGACTTCAACTTTTTTATTTCTCCGCCGTCAAGCGTCTGCCTGGATCTGGCGATGGTGGATTTCAGAACTGTAGTATTTTTGGTGCCGTGTTCGAATTCCCGAATAGATCCAGATCCGAGATCTACTTCGTCGGAGAATGCGGAAATTGCGACCGGATCGTAGACGTAGACGACCTTTTTGTTGGGATTACGTGCCGAAATCGAGATCTCGAGCTTCGAGGAGAGCGCGGCGGAGGTGAGGTTGAACTGCGAGAGGCGGAGCGAGTTCACGGCAAACGTGGGGCGTTGGGGGCGGTACAGGACCCAAAACGCGGCGGCGGCGATGGCGGCGAGAAGAAGGAGCACGGCGATGAGGAAAGTGGTCCAGAGACAGCAGCGGCAGCAGCAGCCGCGCTTGTGGCGGCGGGGTGGGTGTTGCGGGCGGTACACTGGGCGCGCGGCGCTGTAGGGTTGAGGTTTTGGGGTTACACCGCCGCCGGCATCGGGCTTGGGCGTCGGGTTAACTTTGTCGTGGGACATACCTCGTGCACGAGAGATCTCCGGCTCTAGGTGAATCGATAAGGAGCGCCGAGCGCGGCGGGTTTGGCGGTTGCCTGAAGAGACGGCGAGGAGAGGGGAGAAACGTGGACCGACGGGAGTAGAAAAAGAGAGACTATTTATTTATACAAAAAAAAAAAAGAAAAAAAAAGAGAAGAAGAATGATTGAAGCTTCACACGCTTTAGGATTAGCGAGTAATCCGTCTCTTTCACAAACTGTAATGCTAAAGGTTGATAATTAGTTATGAGAAATACTTAATTCACACACAAAATAATTACAAAGTTTATAATTTTTTTTGTGAACTTTAATTAAAAATAAAAAAATTTAAAATAATTTTAAAATGAGAATTTAAATGATAAGTTTATAAATTTTGTAATTATTTTGCTTGTGAACCTAGCATTGCAATTAGTGTTTCCCTATTAAACAATCATTACCAAATTCATTCTTAGTACTCCTTTTATTCCATTAACTAAATAGACATATTTTACGTCTACTTCAATAATTTTTTTATGTACCAATAAAGTACCGTTAATGTGAAATGGAACAAATACAACCTAACCATTGATCTTATTTGGCAAGATCAATTTTAATTAGCATATGCTTGAATAATTTTTTAATGATTTATATTAATTTTGAAAACATTGGAAACAAACGTTGTCATTTGTCAAAAGTTATCTTTTTCAAAATTCTGAGCTTCAATAACTCGATAAGATTATTACCAAATGTAACTGACATATTATCAACTCTCTGTGCTTTTAAATAATCTACATTTAACTATTCAAAAATTACAGAAACTTTTGTTTATTTGTGTAAATTTATTTAGTATTAGATAAAACAAAATATTCTTGTAACCGCTTATTTTGTAAAACTTTTGATGTACTTTTTAAATATATAAATTTTAATTTATTTTTTATTTAAATATCAATATTTAAATAAAATGCATTGAAAAATTAGAATTTTACTTCATTTTATGTAAAGGATAAATGATTTAGGAACGGAGGGAGTATGAGATTTTAACAACAACCAACCTCATCTATGGCATAGGTTATGTTTAGCATCATGGTTTAGTTTTAATATTTTAAAAATCTTATCCAACAAATTTCTTTTAACGTTTTTAAAATTAATTTGTACTATTGAAAAGTAATTCCAAACGTAAATCATAAACATTGTTTTGAAACGGAATCATAGTAGGTAGTAGCATGAATAATCACTTCATAAATCACAAATCTTTACGATTTTCTACCAAAAATTATACAGTACTGCGTTTTTTATTTTGCTATTAAAAATAATTCATGTAATTGCTGTTTAACCATCAATGACATTTTAAGAGATTAGATTCCTTTCTCCAAACTTAATTTATTAAAACTCGTATTTTAGAATTTAGTTGAAATTCGAGCAATTTTAGAGAGTAAGTAGTAGTAAATTAAAAATAAAAAAAGGAAAAGATATTCATTACTTGTAAGAATCTGCGGACTATATATAGATGTTGTCTTAGACATGCAACCGACTATTTAGAATTACTTGTAAGAAATCTTGGACCGAGTTACTATCCGATTATCAAATTAACTCTAAGATGCACAAAAAGACAGTTCACAAAATTTACAAACTTGTTTTTTTAATACTTTCTTAGAAATAAGATGCACTCAAATAATAAAAGATATTTTAATTTAAAATCCACAAAAAGCAAGTTTGTGAACTATATGTTTGTAACTCTAGCATTTTCCGCAACTTTATTACTATAACCATATAATTACTCCGTATATTATTATTATACATATTTTCAGCTATGGTTTGTTACGGCTTTGATCAAAATGTGGTGGTACTTTTATCCGAGCCAAAAATGTACTACTTTTAGATAGTGGGTGATAAACTTAGGGGTTGTTTGTTTCAGCCTCTTAATGGTTTAGATTGTTTGTTTCAGCCTCTTAATGGTTCAGATGTCTGAATGGTTAAGAGATTTGCTTCTGAATGGTTAAGTATTATACAGAGTCTGAATGATTAAGACATCTTATCTGAATTGATCATACATTTGATTCTGAATAGTTAAGTAATATACTAGCTCTTAATAGTTCAGACCTCTTACTGGTTCAGCACTTAATGGTTTATACCTCTTACTGGTTCAACAATATACTAGCTCTTAATGGTTCAGCCCTAAATATCATCTGAAAAGAGGTGATTTGACCCGATTCTAGTGACATCGGAGAACGGTGCCACTAGCGGTGTCACTGTGTTTTTGGGATACCTCCGGTGCTCCATTCGTAAAATTGACAGCTCCATGCAATAGCCACACATTTTATGTAGGGCTAACGACGGGGTTGGGGTGGGGTGCAGGGGTGGGGGTAGGGTGGGGGTACAGTTTAGGGGATGATGGTTATGGAGGGTAGGAAACGTCAATTTTACGAACGGAGCACCGGAAGTGTCCCAAAAACGCAGTGGCACCGCTAGTAGCACCATTC